TTAATGTTAGGTTAGGTGAGGTTAGGTTATGTTAGGTTAGGTTAGGTTAGGTGAGGTTAGGTTAGCTTTAGCGTTAGGTGAGGTGAGGTGAGGTGAGATTAGGTTAGGTTAGGTTAGGTTAGGTTAGCGTTAGGATGTTTAATCATGAGGTGAAATATGTTGGGGTGTCTAATCATTGGGTTATTGTCTGTCTGTCTGTCTGTCTGTCTGTCTGTCTCTCCCCTCTTGTCAACACTCTCCCCGTCATCACCACTGTGTACCCCCCCTTCCTCTCCCTTCCCCACGTCCTCCTCCCTAACACAAACAAATATACGAGACCAAATCATCTGAACACTCATAACACCTCACTGGGAGGGAGGGAGAGGGAGGGAGAGAGGGAGTGGGAGGGAGGGAGGGAGGAAGGAGGAAGGAGGGAGTAGGAGGGAGGGAGGGAGGGGGAGGAAGGAGGGAGTAGGAGGGAGGGAGGGAAGGAGTAGGGATGAGAGGGAGGTTAATCAGCAGGTTTTATAGCCTGAATATTAATGACTTGCCATTATAGCATTCACTTCGCGTTGCTTCTCTGTACAACCTGACCGGGTGCAAAATCTACCCACTACACCTCCTTCCACCCCCCCCACTTTCCCCTCTCCTCCCCCCCCTCCTCCTCCTCTCCCTCCTCCTCCTCCTCCTCCTCCTCCCTCCTCCTCCTCCCCCTTCCTTCTTCTTGCTCTTCTTCCTCATTTACAGACTTTATAACCAGGGATAGTTTTGTACATTTTGCTGCAGTGAAGGCGTGGAAGGCTCCGCTGCAAGGGTTAATATTAGCCAGAAATTGCCTTCGTATTTGCAAGTTGTTGAGTGGATCTTAGCGTTGTATTTGAGAGGAGGTGAATAAGGAAAGGGAGGAAGGAGGAAGGAAGAAGAAGGAGAAGGGAGAAACAGGAGGGAGGGAAAGAAGCAGGAGGGGAGGAGGAGGGGCAGGAGGGGGAAGGAGAAGCAGGAGGAGGGAGGAAGATATTGGTAGTTAAATTTGTAAGGGAACGAGTGGTGGTTGATGATGTGAGGTGGTAGTGGTGGTTGATGTTGTGAGGTGGTAGTGGTGGTGATTGATGTTGTGAGGTGGTAGTGGTGGTTGATGATGTGAGGTGGTAGTGGTGGTTGATGTTGTGAGGTGGTAGTGGTGGTGATTGATGTTGTAATTAGTGGTGGTTGATGATGTGAAGTTGGTAGTGGTGATTAATGTGAGAAGTGGTAGTGGTGGTTGATGATGTGGTGGTAGTGGTGGTTGATGATGTGAGGTGGTAGTGGTGATTAATGTGAGGTGGTAGTGGTGGTTGATGATGTGAGGTGGTAGTGGTGATTGATGTTGTGAGGTGGTAGTGGTGGTGATTGATGTTGTGAGGTGGTAGTGGTGATTAATGTGAGGTGGTAGTGGTGATTAATGGGGTGGTAGTGGTGGTTGATGATGTGAGGTGGTAGTTGTGATTAATGTGAGGTGGTAGTGGTGGTTGATGATGTGAGGTGGTAGTGGTGATTGATGTTGTGAGGTGGTAGTGGTGATTAATGAGGTGGTAGTGGTGGTTGATGATGTGAGGTGGTAAGTGGTGATTGATGTTGTGAGGTGGTAGTGGTGATTGATGTTGTGAGGTGGTAGTGGTGATTGATGTTGTGTGAGGTGGTAGTGGTGGTTGATGATGTGAGGTAGTAGTGGTGGTGGTTGATGTTGTGAGGTGGTAGTGGTGGTTGATGATGTGAGGTTAGTGGTGGTTGATGTAGAGGTGGTAGTAGTGGTTGATGTTGTGAGGTGGTAGTGGTGGTTGATGTTGTTGAGGTGGTAGTGGTTGTTGATGTTGTGAGGTGGTGTGGTTGTTGTTGTTGTGAGGTGGTAGTAGTGGTGGTTGATGTTGTGAGGGTGGTAGTAGTGGTGGTTGTTGTTGTGAGTGGTAATGGTGGTTGTTGTTGTGAGGTAGTAGTTGTGGTTGTTGGTGTTTATGAGGTGGTAGTAGTGGTGGTTGTTGTTGTGAGGTGGTAGTAATGGTGGTTGTTGTTGTGAGGTGGTAGTAATGGTGGTTGTTGTTGTGAGGTGGTAGTTGTGGTTGTTGATGTTGTGAGGTGGTTGTTGAGGTTGTGAGGTGGGTTGTAATAATAGTGGTGATTGGTGTTGCTAGATGGTGGTAATGGTGGTGGTGATTCGTGTTGCAAAAGGGAGAGTTTAATTAACTAATGGAGGAATGAAGGATGGCACTAATGTTGTGTTTGTGTGTATACATCAACCTGCACACACACACACACACAGAGAGAGAGCTGGGACACACGCGACTTAGGCACGTTTCCCTCTAAATGGGTCAATGATAATGAGCTTTGACTTTAGAAGCTGAATGGCCAGATTAATGTCCCATCAACTGGTTAACACTATGAGATGGTTAATGTTAGCAGCTGGTTAACGCTTTATTAATCTGGTTAATGTTAGCAACAATATGTTACCTTTATTAGTCGTTTAACGTTATTACTGTGTTAATGTTTTATGAGTATGGTTAACGCTTTATCTTTCTGGCTAAAGTCTCATCAACTGTTTTTATTTAATACTTGGTAAAGGTTTACAACAGATGTGACGAGAGTTTAGTATATGGAGAGAGAGAAATTTGGAGCATAATGAAGGCCTTATGTTTTAGCAACTATTCACACTATCTCTCCTCTACTCTACTCTACATTACTCTACTCTACTCTACTCTACTCTACAAGTAAGTAAGTAAGAAATAAAGTAAAGAGTTATGTAAAGACTTTTTCCAAATTAATTGAGTACAGGTAAGTGAGGTCTTTTAGGGAGCCTTATAAAGTGTCACCCAAGCTAGTGAACAAAGACCCTACACCCCCCCGCCGCCCTCCACTTATCTAGCCGTTTAAGTAAGTAAGTAGATAAATAAATAAGTAAGTATAGATTTTCAAGAGCCCCCTGAAGCAAGCAAGATATTAAGCAACTAAGTATTGGGATTTTTAGAGATAAGCCCTTCCTTCCTTCCTTCCTTCCTTCCTTCCTTCCTTCCTTCCTTCCTTCCCCACTCCCTCCCTTCCTTTCTCCTTCTCTCCCTCATTTTCTTCCTCCACCCTATCGCCTTCCTTTCTCCTTCCTCTCCCCACTTTTTTCTCTTCCTTTTCTCTCCCTCCCTTTACCCTCCCTCCCCCCCCACCCCCCCCTCCCCCCTCCTCACCCCTCCCTCCCCCCTCCCCTCACCCCTCCCTCCCTCCTCCCTCCCCTTTACCCTCCTTCTCCCCCCTCCTCACCCCTCCCTCCCTTCCCCCTCCTACAAGATGACCAATAAACTAGATAAAAGTATACCACTAAGAGACTCCACCCCAACAGAAAACGCTACCCTCTGAAGCCACTCTCAGGCCATGTTTACTAAGTTTGTATGAATGGCCCCTTGTGTCGAAGTTACGATAGGCTGGCGAAATAAGCCCCGGATCTAGTTTAACAGTCTTCGAATACATAACACTAGGTGAATAGGTTCCTGAGTGCTCCTCCAAACTTGTTTACAGGTTTTGAAAATGGGGTTGCCGGTTGTTGTTTTTCTTGGCGTGTTTTTTTTGGGTTTGTTTTTGTTTTACTTTTTTGTTTCTCAGTGAGATTGGCAGGTCAGGAGATATTGACATGTTACCCTTCCGTCCGGTAATCTTCTCAACATGATTGCTCTGACACATGACACAATGAACGTCTCCATATAATATATACATACAGGAGATGCAGTATTAACTTTTGCATACATACTGTACATAATTTATGGTTGCCACTCGTGTACGGATGGCGCCCCAAAGGGCCACCCTAGGCATGAATTTGTTTAAGGTGTAGAAGCTGTCGCCAACACAACAACCACACCTAAGTTAACGAGTTGCATGACCCAGTGTTTAAGGTGTAAAGCTGTCGCCAACACAACAACCACACCTAAGTTAACGAGTTGCATGACCCAGTGTTTAAGGTGTAGAAGCTGTCGCCAACACAACAACCACACCCTAAGTTAACGAGGCTGCATATCCCAGTGTTTAAGGTGTAGAAGCTGTCGCCAACACAACAACCACACCCTAAGTTAACGAGTTGCATGACCCAGTGTTTAAGGTGTAGAAGCTGTCGCCAACACAACAACCACACCCTGAGTTAACGAGCTGCATGACCCAGTGTTTAAGGTGTAGAAGCTGTCGCCAACACAACAGCCACACCTAAGTTAACGAGCTACATGACCCAGTGTTTAAGGTGTAAAGCTGTCGCCAACACAACAACCACACCCTAAGTTAACGAGCTGCATAGGCCAGTGTTTAAGGTGAAGCTGTCGCCAACACAACAACCACACCTAAATTAACGAGCTGCATGACCCAGTGTCAAGAATAGTCGAAGACCGGACAACTCGCCAACTGCACTGGCTAACCATTACCCCGGAGCACAATCCGCAAATCGATTAACATCCAGGTCCCCAATTACTGCTGGGTAGACAGAGGCAAATGGCATAAAGAAACTTGCCCATAGTTTCACTCTGCCCGAGGATCGAACCCGGGTCCACTCGCTTGCGAGGCGAGCATGCTGACCATTATACACCATGCATATACTAATCTTCTGGAAACACATATATACAATATTGATGTTTCTGTACACTACATACATATTATTAACGTCTCCTATACACACACACACACGCACACACACACGCACACACACAGACGCACACACACACGCACACACGCACGCACACACACACACACACACATATAGACCAAGCATTTCCTAACCCTCCCCCCCCTCACATCACAACACACAAACCTTAAAGTGTATCCAAACTATTCTTCATATCTCTCTCCCCTCTCTCCTTCTTTCACTTTGTCTCTCACACACACACACCCTGTCTCTCTGTGTCTCCATTTGCTCTTTCTTTCTTTCTTTCTTTTCTTTCTTTCTATCAACACACACACACACACACACACACACACACACACACACACACACACACACACACACTTCCAGGAAACTTTAAAACATGCAGGAGGTTCTTGAGAAGTTTCGTCAGGCAGACTCCTGTAGAGGCTGTGGGAATTTTCATCATGCTTTTAAGAGGAGTTTTCCCCCCAGTCTCCAAGTGTGTTGATTTTGTGCACCTTTAAAGAAGCTAGTTTTGGAGTGGGCGTGTTCCGGTGCTTGTGAGTGGGAGATGTGAGTGGTTGTTTGGCTGTGCAGAAGTGTGAGTGGGAGGTTCGGAATGAGTGGAAATAAGTTTATACACCTAACCTAACCTAACCTAACCTAACTAACCACATCATAACCTATTAATACCAATAAAAACAAATAAAACCATAACAAATACTAAAGAAAGTAACACTAACAAATACAGAAAAATACAAAAACAACAACACCAACACCAACAACACCAACAACAACAACACCAACAACAACAACAACACCAACAACCAACAACAACAACACCAGCACCAACAACAGCACCAGCACCAGCAACAGCAGCAACAACAGCAGCGCCAACAGCACCAGCAACAACGCCAACAAACGCAGCAACAGCACCAACAGCACCAGCAACAACGCCAGCAGCAAGCACCGAAGCAACCAACCAGCACCAACAACAGCACCAGCACCAGCAACCAGCACCAGCAACCAGCACCAGCAACACCAGCAACCAGCACCAACAGCAACAGCACCAACAGCAAGCACCAGCGCCAACAGCAAGCACCAGCAACCGACACCAGCAAGCAACAGCACCAGCAACAACAGCAGCAACAGCAACACCAGCAACCAGCACCAGCACCAGCAACAGCAACAGCAACAACAGCAACCAGCACCAGCCAGCAACCAGCACCAGCAACCAGCACCAGCGCAACAACCAGCACCAGCAACAGCACCAACAGCACCAACAGCACCAAAACAACCAACCGCCAACAACAGCACCAACAACACCAGCAACCAGCAAGCGGCACCAACCAGCACCAGCACCAGCAACAACACCAGCACCAGCAACAACCAGCAACAGCAGCAACAACAGCAACCAGCACCAGCAACAGCACCAGCAAACAGCACGCCAGCACCAGCAACCAGCACCAGCAACGCCAACAGCAGCACCAGCGCCAGCACCAGCAACCAGCACCGAGCAGCAAGCCAACCAGCAACCAGCAACAACGACAGCAGCAACCAGCGCCAACCAGCGCCAGCACCAGCAGCAATGACAGCGCCAGCAACCAGCCAGCCCAGCAGTACAAGACGCCAGCGGCAAACCAGCCAACCAACCAACCAGCAAGCAATGACGCCAGCACCAGCAACCAGCAAGCACCAGCGCAGCACCAGCACCAGCCAGCAACCAAGCAACCAGCACCAGCAAACAACCAACAATAGCGCCAGCACCAGCGCCAACCAGCCAGCCCCGCAGCACCAGCACCAATAGCCCCCAGCAGCAATGACGCGGCACCAGCCAGCAACCCAACCAACCAGCCAAGGCCCGCCAGCCAATGACGCAACCAGCCAAGCAACAACAACAATAACAACAACAGCCAACAGCGCCAGCACCAGCAACAATAAAACCAGCAACAATAAGCCAAAGCGCAAACGCCAGCACCAGCGCAAAGCAACAACAACAACAAGCAAGCCAAACCAGCCAACAAGACGACCAGCAACGCAAACGCCAGCAAGACAACCAAGACAATAAGCAACGCCAGCGCCAGCCAACCAGGCGCCAGCACCAACCCAGCAAAACGCCAGCACCAGCGCCAGCGCAGCACCAGCCAACAACAAGAAAAAAAGCCGCCAGCAACAAGGCGCCAACCAACCAAAAAGCAACAAGACAAGCGCCAGCAGCCAAAACGGAGCGCCAACCAACAACCAACAGCCAACCAGCAATGACCAAGCAAGGCGACAAGCGCCAACGACAACAAACCAGCGCCAACCAGCAAAGCCACCAGCAAAACACCAACAAAGCCCAGCAACCACCAAGCGCAACGCCAACCAACCAACCAAACCCAGCAAAAAACACCAACGCCAGCAAAACCCAAAAAGCGCCAAAACCAGCACCAGCAAAAAGCCAACACCAACAAAAAACAAAAGCCCAGCAAAAAAAAGCCAGCAACCAACCAAGACGCAGCAAACAACAATAGCCAACCAACCAGCAAGCAAGCGCCAGCCAACCAGCAAGCAAGCAACCAACCAGCACCAACCAGCAAAAAGCGCCAAAGCAATGACAACGCCAGCGCCAGCGCCAGCAACAGCAAGCAGCAAGCACCAGCAACCAGCCAGCAACCGAGGCAACCAGCGCCAGGCGCGCCAGCCAGCAGGCAACCCAGCAGCGCCAGCCAGGCAAGCGAAGCACCAGCAAGCGGCGCGCAAGCAACCAGCACGCCAGCAACCAGCCAGCCAAGCAGCAAGCAGCAAGCGCAGCACCAGCAACCCAGCCAGCCAGCAACCAGCGCCAGCAGCGCCAACCAGCCAGCAAGCCGAGCAAGCAACGCAGCGCCAGCACCGGCAGCCAGGCAGCAGCGAAACCAGCGCAACCGGCGCAGCAACCAAGACCAGCACCAGCAACAATAGCCGCAACCAACAATAGCACCAGCAGCCAACCCAACCAGCGCACCAGCAACCAGCGCAAAGCCAGCAAACCAGCAACAGCAAGCAAACCCAGCAACCAACAGCGCACCAGCGCCAGCAACAATGACACCAGCCAGCCAGCAACCAGCAACCAGCACCAGCAACGAGCCAACCAACCAGCGCCAGCGCCAGCCGACAGCAAGCCAGCAGCAGCGAGCAAGCAGCGCCAGCAACCAGCGCCAGCAAGCGCCAGCAACAGCACCAGCAACCAACCAGCAAAGCCAGCAAGCCAGCACCAGCACCAGCCAGCCAGCCAACCGACAGCAACCAGCGCCAGCACCAGCAACCAGCAAGCAACCAACCAGCACCAGCGCCAGCCAATGACGCAGCGCCAGCGCCAGCAAAACAGCACCAGCGCCCAGCGCCAGCCAACAGACGCCAGCACCCAGCACCAGCAGCCAATGACAACAGCACCAGCACCAGCACCAGCGACCAGCCAACAGCAAGCAAGCACCAGCAACAGCAACAGCCCAGCAACAGCAAGCGGCAGCAACCCAACAGCACCAGCAGCGCAGCAACAACGAGCAACCAGCAACAGCGCCAGCACCAGCACCAGCAACAACCAGCGCCAACCAGCACCAGCAACCAGCGCCAGCAAACAGCAACAGCAACCAGCACCAGCACCAGCAAGCAACCAGCAATGACACCAGCGCAGCACCAGCAACAGCAACCAGCACCAGCAGCAACCGCCAGCACCAGCACCAGCACCGACAACAACAACCAGCACCAGCACCAGCAGCAACCAGCACCAGCAACAGCGCAAGCACGCCAGCGCCAGCGCAGGCACAACCAGCAGCAACGGCAAAGCACCAGCACCAGCACCAGCACCAACCAGCACCAACCAGCAACCAGCACCAAGCAACAGCGAGCCAACCAGCCAAGCAACCAGCAACCAGCAAGCAAACAGCACCAGCAACCAAGCACCGGCAACCAGCAACCAGGCCAACCAGCACCAGCAACCAAGCAAACAGCAAGCACCAACAACAACAACCAGCGCAGCAACAACCAGCAACGCCAACCAGCAACAGCAAACCAGCAACCAAACCAAGCACCAACCAGCAAACCAACAAAACCAGCAAGCGGCACCAACCAAACAACAAAGCACCAACAACAACAACACCAGCCAGCAACCAACAAAACGCCAGCAACAACCAGCACCAAGCAACAACAACCAACAACAGCAGCAAGCACCAGCACCAACAACCAACGCCCAACGCAACGCCAAGCACCAGCAACGCCAGCAGCACCAGCCAGCACCAGCGCACCGAAAGCAGCAGCAACCAGCAAAACCGACGCACCAGCAACCAGCACGCCAGCAAGCAACCAGCGCCAGCAAGCAACAACCAGCACCAGCAACCAACACGGCAGCACCAGCACCAGCACCAGCGACCAATAGCCACCAGCGCGCCAGCCAGCAGCAACAGCACCAGCACCAGCCAGCAACCGCAACCAGCAACAGCAACCAGCAGCAACAGCAAGCAAGCACCAGCACCAGCAGCAAGCACCAGCAACAACAGCACCAGCAACGAAACAACAGCACCAGCAACAGCAACCAACACCAGCCACCAGCGCCAGCAGCAACAACAGCACCAGCACCAGCAAGCAGCAACCAGCACCAGCACGCCAGCACCAGCAACCAACCAGCAACAACCAACAACCAACCAGCACCAGCAACCAACCCAACAAGCGCCAGCACCGCCAGCAAACGCCAGCGCCGGCAAGAGCAACCAGCCAGCCAGCCAGCGACCCAGCGAGCAAACGACGACCAACCACCAGCCCGCAGGCAAACCCGGCAGCGAAGCGCCAGCGCCGAGCACCAGCGCCAGCAGCTACCAGCAAGCGCCAGCGCCAATGACAGCCAGCACCAGCAACAGCGCCGAACGCCAGCGCCAGCAACCCAGCAACAAGCACGCCAGCCAGCAGCAACCAGCAAAGCAACCAGCAACAGCACCAGCGCAAGCAACAAGCAAGCCGCCAGCAAACAGCAGCCAGCACCAGCAACCAGCCAGCAAAACCCAAAGCGCCAGCGCCAGCAACCAAGCAACCAACCAACCAGCAGCAAGCACAGAGCAAGCAGCAACCAGCACCAGCACCAGCGCCAGCGCCAGCAACCAGCAACCAGCACCAGCGCCAGCAACCAGCACCAGCAACAAGCACCAGCACCAGCAACCAGCACCAGCAACAGCAGCAAGCAAGCAACCAATAACCAACAACACCAGCAACCCAGCGCCAGCACCAGCAGCAAGCAGCAGCAACAGCAAACAGCACCAGCAACCAGCAACCAGCACCAGCGCCAGCAGCAAAACCAACAACAACCAACAACCAACCGAACCAGCAACCAACCAGCGCCAGCGCCAACCAGCAACCAGCACCAGCGCCAGCAACAACAACGCAAACAACACCAGCGCAACCAGCACCAGCAAGCAAACAACCAGCAACAACCAACCAGCCAGCACCAGCACCAACCAGCAACAAGCACCAGCAACAGCAACCAGCAACAACCAGCGCAAGCAACCAGCACGCCAGCACCAGCACCAGCAAGCAGCAAGCACCAGCAACAGCACCAGCGCAAGCAAGACACCAGCAGCAACAGCAAGCAACCAACAGCAACAAGCACCAGCACCAGCAACCAACCAGCACCAGCAACAGCACCAGCGCCGGCAACCAGCACCAAGCAAGCAACAACGAGCACCAGCACCAGCAAGCAACAGCACGCCAGCAACAGCACCGAAGCAACCAGCACCAGCACCAGCAAGCAAGCCAGCAGCACCAGCAACCCAGCAGCAACCAGCAAGCAAAACAACAGCGAAGCAACAACCGCCAGCAGCAACCAACAACAGCACCAGCAGCAACCAACGCCAGCAGCACCAACGCCAGCACCAGCAACCAGCAACCAGCAACCGCCAGCAACAGCAGCAACAGCACCAACAGCAACAACCAGCACCAGCCAAGCAACAACCAGCAACACCAGCCCCACCAGCGCAGCCAACCAGCACCAGCAGCACCAGCAAGCAACCGCCAGCAAGCACCAGCAACAACAGCAAGCAACAACCGAGCACCAGCACCAGCAACAGCACCGGCAACCAGCAACAGCAAGCAAGCAAGCAGCACCAGCACCAGCGCCAGCACCAGCAACCAAGCACCAGCACCAGCAACAACAGCACCAGCACCAGCACCAGCACGCCAGCAACGCCAGCACCAGCGCCAGCAGCAACCAGCAAGCAAGCAACACCAGCAAACAACAGCACCAGCACCAGCAACAGCAAACAACCAACGCCAACCACCAACAACACCAACAACAACAGCAAGCACCGAGCGCCAGCAAACAACCAGCGCAACCCAACCAGCACCAGCAACCAGCGCCAGCGCCAGCACCAGCCCAAGACAACCAGCAAGACAAGCAACAAGCAACCAAGCGCAACCAGCAGCAAGCAACCAGCCGCCAGCAACCAGCAACGCCAGCAAGCGCAAGCAAGCACGCCAAGCACCAGCACCAGCAACCAGCAGCAGCAAGCAACAGCAACAACGAGCACCAGCAAGCAAGCAACCAGCGCCAGCACCAGCAAGCAACAACCAGCACCAGCACCAGCAGCAACCAGCACCAGCAACCAGCACCAGCACCAGCAACAACCAGCCAGCACCAGCACCAGCAACAGCAACCAGCACCAGCACCAGCCAGCAACCAACACCAGCACCAGCAACAGCAACCAGCGCAACGCCAGCAGCAACCAGCAACCAGCACCGACAAGCACCAGCACCAGCGCCAGCAAACCAGCAAAGCAAGCAACCAGCAACAACAACAACCCACCAGCACCAGCACCAGCAACAACGCAACCAGCAAACCAGCACCAGCAAGACAAGCGAAAACCAGCGCCAGCAACCAGCGCCAACCGACCAACCAGCGCCAGCAAACAGCGCCAGCAGCGCCAGCAGCAAACCAGCGCCAGCAGCCAGCGCAAAACCAGCAACAGCAAACCAACCAGCGCAGCGCCAGCCACCAGCAAGCAAGCAAACAGCACCAACCAGCAAGCACCAACCAACCAGCACCAGCAACCGCCAGCGCAAAGCACCAAGCGCCAGCAACAGCAACAGCAGCACCAGCAACCAGCACCAGCACGCAGCAGCAACCAGCAAGCAACCAAGCAAGCAACAACGACCAGCGCCAGCACCAGCAACAGCACCAGCAACAACAGCACCAGCAACCAACAGCAACCAGCACCAGCACCAAGCACCAGCACCAGCAAGCGCAAGCAACAGCAACCAACCAGCAGCAACCAACGCAGCAGCACCAGCAGCACCACCAGCACCAGCAACCAGCAACAACCAGCAAGCACCAACAGCACCACCAGCACCAGCAGCCAGCAACCAGCACCAGCAAGCACCAGCAACAACAGCAACAACAACCACCAACACCAGCAATGCGTGTTCTT